TGTCCCTGTCATGGGCTGTGTCCCCACGAGGGGCTGTGTCCCCGTCCCCCTCGGGGGGCTGTGTCCCCGTCCCCATGGGGTCATGTCCCCATCCTCGTCGGGGGACTGTGTCCCTGTCCCTATTAGGGGGTTGTGTCCCCCTCCCCATTGAGGGGCTGTGTCCCCATCCCCATCGCAGGCTGCGTCCCTCTCTGGGCTGCATCCCCGTCGGGGGGCTGTGTCCCTGTCCCCATCCCCATGGGGGGGCTGTGTCCCTGTCCCCATCCCCACGGGGGGGCTGTGTCCCTGTCCCCATGGGGGCTGTGTCCCTGTCATGGGCTGTGTCCCCACGAGGGGCTGTGTCCCTGTCCCCCTTGAGGGGCTGTGTCCCCATTCCCATGGGGGCCGTGTCCCCGTCCCCATGGGGGCTGTGTCCCCATTCCCACGGGGGCTGTGTCCCTGTCCCCACGGGGTGGCTGTGTCCCCATTCCCATGGGGTGGCCGTGTCCTTGTCCCCATTGCGGGCTGTGTCCCCGTCCCCACGGGGGCTGTGTCCCCGTCCCCACGGGGGCCGTGTCCCCGTCCCCACGGGGCCGCGCTCACCGCAGGTGGTGCAGGGCGGCCAGGCCGCGCTCGGTGACGCGGGGACAGGCGGCCAGCGAGAGCTGGCGCAGGCTGCCGCACAGGGGGTGCAGCCGCGCGACGCCCCAGTCGTCCAGGCGCTCGCAGCCGCCCAGCTCCAGCTGCTGCAGCTGCGGCAGCCGCACTGCGGGACGCGCTCAGCGCCCGCGGCGTTCCCGGATCCATCCCACGCCTCCCGGCTCCATCCCACGCCTCCCGGCTCCATCCCGACACCTCCCAGATCCATCCCGACACCTCCCAGATCCATCCCGACACCTCCCGGCTGCGGCAGCCGCACTGCGGGACGCGCTCAGCGCCCGCGGCGTTCCCGGATCCATCCCACGCCTCCCGGCTCCATCCCGACACCTCCCGGCTCCATCCCGACACCTCCCGGCTGCGGCAGCGGCCCTGCGGGACACGCTCAGCGCCCGCGGCGTTCCCGGCTCCATCCCAACACCTCCTGGCTCCAGCACGTCCCAGCTCCATCCTAACACCTTCCCGTTCCAAC